GCTAAAGGTGACATAGATACTTTATTATGGTATAGTATTTAAATGTATGCCTGAGAAACACATAATATTGCCCCTTTAAAAAAGTCAGTCTTTTCATTTTTTAACTACTGCATATTGAAAGATGCCTTGAATAATCGGAAAAAAATGTTAAGCAACTTCTTTTTTGTATTATTGTGTAATTACAAAAATGGGAATGACTACAGATAAAAAAGACAAAGGGGCAGAGTGCCATCTCTTGGTAACAGAAAAATTTAGATAAAATGTTTGAAATAAAAAAAGAGAGCAGGTCTACAACAGATTAGTTACTGCAGTAACAGGTTTACACGTTCTTTCATAAATAAGTGACTAGTTTCAGAAAGAGATCATTCCAAAGATAGTTGGTTAAGGAGTGTGTATGCATGTGCAGTTTTATGTCTGTTCCTGTTTGTATGTGTCTGTAGCACACTATAATAAGATTCAGATAGTTAAAGCTCTGCCTTATCTGAAGTTCACCTGCCCTCCATCAAATGACCTTCTGGGGGTTTAATTTTTTTCAACATTTATCCATTCTTTTCTCCCTTTTTTTGTCTCTTCTTTTCTGACGATAATCATTTATTTTTCCTGCAAACTCACACCAACCTTGTTGTTTCTGACTTAATTCAAAATGTGCATTTAAAACGTGTGCAGATATGAAGTGAGAGTGGAGGCCTGCACGTTGCTGGGCTGCTCCTCCAGTGACTGGTCCTCAGTACTCACGCTGGAGGCTCCCCCTGCTGGACAGCCGGCGCCTCTTTTAGACCTCCAACCTGATGAACAGACAGGCCTGCAGACAAGCTTTCTTCTCATCTGGTCCCCTCCGGTTCAGCCAAATGGAAGAATTTTGCATTACGAGGTGCATCGCAAGACGAACCTAAAAACAGACATCAAGAAAACTGAAGCAGCAACAGTTGTGTACAGAAATGTGTCTACTTCATACAAGGACAACAGACTCCAGCCTTACACTGTGTACCAGTACCAGGTAAACTAAAACTGTTTTGTTAAATGTGTGCATGTGCACTAGAATATAATATAGTTTAATTTACAAGTTAAAAATAATATTGAGTAATTCCTAGACAAAAAAATGTTTCTTAGAAGTTTTTTTCAGATGTTTTAATTTTTAATTTTATATGTTTTAATTATCTCTATAAGAGCCAGATGAGATTTTGCAGGATGTAAGCAAAAAAATAAAATAAAATAAAATTCTCAAATTGTTGAACTATAGTACCTGAAATATAAAAGAAATATATTTGATGTTTTTTGTAGATAAAACAAGTGTTAAAACACTTCATGTTCTCACTCAAATTGAACTATTTTCCTACATTTGACAAAAAAAAAAGAGAAGAAAAAGTTTAAAAATTAATATTTTTGCAGACAAGCCTTATGTTATTGACATATTAGAGGCTGAAGTTTTATTTCACAGTGAGATGCATTTTAAGCTTTTGGTCTTACATTCAAACAAACGTATTTAAGGAACAACTAATACAACGTCACTATGCACCAAGCAACACAGAAACTCCAAAACACACAGAAGTAATCAGACAGGTGTTAAATGGAGCGGTCCATATTTATGCTGTTGTACTCGTGCATCCGTACACTAATTGACAGGTTAGCCCTTTGGAAGCAACAATAACATTAGCATTCCTGTCTGTCAGACCTACGAGCTGAGGCCAGAGAACGGCTGTAATTGATTGAGTTTGCCTGATTGTGGTGCTGTCTTTATTTACGAGAGTTCTAATTTATGACATGAGCAGGGAGGGAGGGAGGAGCTTTGGGAGATGACGAGCGGGCAACAGAGCCATTAATCACTGGGCCCTCTGAGCACCCCACTTCCTGATTACCAGCCAGCCAATCGAATTAACTGTTAGCCTCCTTGGTAACAGAGCTTGTATTGGAAAGACCTTTTAATGGTGACCGCTACACGTCCCTGGAGGGTTTGCCAGTGGGGGATTGGGGGGAGGGGGTTGTGGACAAGTTAGCAGTGTGTGTGTTTGTTGGCTATGAACACATGTACACAGCAGTTCTCTGTTTCAGAGAAATAAACACAAGTGTTTTTCGAGGCTCAAGAGCAAAATGGTTGATATCTTTAGACATTTTTTCAACTCTGGAAACTCAAACCTCTTTATTACATTTTCAATCACTGACTGGTGTTTCATAGGTCTTTTAAAACTCTTACCTTCACTTACCTATTCACTTCTACGGCTGTTTTTTATCTGCCAGTTAATCTGTCTGTGTTTATATCTGACCGGCCTAGTTTCTCACTGTGTTTCAAGCGCACACAAGGACAACGCGGTTCAGTTTAGCACACCACAGTGCGTAGAGAGAAATCATATTAGGCTAATTACACTGGGTCATAAGCTCCTATTGACAGCTTTATGCTTGCTTTTAATTACTGCCCACTTTCACACAACTTAGCCCCTTCACCCCAAGTAGATGCTCCCGCCAAGTTACCGTGTTGGCCTATCAGAGCCCTAAAATCCAGTCCGCAGTCCAGGCATCCAATGAAAAGGCTGGAATCCTGTCTGGAAGTACACTGAAGTCGTTTGTTGCCATGGCGGCTCTTTTGCTGCCGCGGCTGCTAACGGGACTATATTTTTATTTTGTGTCTAACAAGCCAAATCATGGCCCAATAAGAAGCAAGAAGACAAGAGTGGAGAGAGGGCAATAAAAAGTTTGTGGATGATATACGGACGAAGGCGCGAGTTCTACCTTTTAGCACCGGATCAAGGGCAAGGTGATCCAGGGCCGACTTTAAATTCCAACATTTATTTTCTGTTCTGATTATGTGGCAGAAACTTTTTAATCTCACTCAAAGTCTTACGTCATGTTGGGCTCTTAACTTTGTTGCTATGGTGGGGAGGAACATGGTTGTTGCTGGGTAGAAATGTTTTGCAACTTTCTGCTTTTAGGCAACTAGAGAGGCAAAAAAACAAATCAAAACAGTTTCATGCAACAAGTTACTGTTTTACACAGGAACTACAACCACAACTTTAGCTGTTTCTCTTTAAATCCATTTAAATTATATTTTTATATTCCTCTCACATCTGTTCATATGATGATGGAAGTGAAATACAACATGAGATTTGGCTTCTGGGTGACAATAAAACAGAAACAAACAAACAAAAAAGTGCAGCAAAGCATCACCATGGAAGCAGTGACACAATCAGATCCAAAACTAAAAAAATAAACATTCTGTTCACACATTTGTGACCCGTCACATCGAAATGAGGATCAAGTCTAAAAGCTTTATGTGGAGAAATAGGCAGATTTTGATTAAAACACTTGCAAAAATAACACTTTATCAAAATATAACTAAATGTGTTATCAATGTATCATTTCAATGAATTGTCTGAAATATAATCATAAAAAAATTTTTGAAGCACTTTTTTGAGCAGTAGCAACCAAAAACCCAATTTTGAGGAAAAACACCTTAAAATGTTGAGATTTTCACGGTAAGATGTCAAAGCTTTTGTTTCTTTCCAGCTGGGAAATCTCAATAATCAAATAAGGTTTCTTTTTTTCAAATGACAGAAAAATCCTCATTAAAATTACATAAAATTAGGATTTAGATCAAATATTTATGTAT